AATTGACATTTATTATTGCTACGAATCAAACATTCCTTATTACCTTCAAATAATAACGAGACGAATGTTAAGGATGATAGTTATGCAGGTACATTAATATCTACTAAACAACACAAGCGTATCTACTAAATTACTTCTAACATAGATTTCAAAAACATGACAAAATCACTAATTATTTATTACAAAGGTAGATCAAAAGATTTCACTGTAATCGTTAATGCTTGTGGTCAATGATACAAAGCATTTTACGATGAATTATCAGCAAGTATATCTCGTGGTTTCGATATACAGATACTACTGTGTATCTAGATTTCTGGCAGGGTAGACATGCAGCACGAATAAATGTTTGGATCCACCTTAAGAAAAGTGCTATAGGAAAAACGTAAAGTGCATGATTGTGACTAAATTTTAAAGTAACGTAGCAATACTTCAAATGTGTAAATCAATTTAAATTAATTATTAATTTATTCACATTGCAACATTCATTTATACAAAATTTAAAAAATAAATGATTAGGACACAGTAAAAAAATTCTAACAATAAACTATCTAAACTGAGGTAGTCTTTAAAACAATGTGTCGACTGAACGGTTTAATAACAATAAAAAGTGAACGACTACAGACACTCATAGTATCGTTAAATAATTGATAATAAAAAAAAAGAAATGTAAAGAATCAATTAATGAATAAATGTAAAGTGGTAACATCTAAAGATGTGGAGAAGGATAGCGAAAATAACTACACAAGAACATCTCAAGAAGAATAACAACTATGGAAAGAAAGAATAGAAATAGAACAAACTACTACAGAGAAGAAACGTGGAAATGTGGCTAATGTGGCTTAGTGTATTTACAAACAAGTGTCACAACTTGGAGCGTTATAAACCAAACCGAATAACATCTACCCGATAGCTCATCACCCTTATAATGTTATAGTTCATTGTGATCAAGTTCAGTTCGATGACTCCAGTTTGACACCAGTACACAAGCGATATATGAAATAGTCAAGAGACACTGAGGCGAAATATGAGTTGTGGAGTATGAATGTCTGTCGAAGCTACTTCCACTGAACGGGAGCATAAAAAGGCTACATTAAATGCACATGGCTCGGCGAGAACGTTGTGCACTAGTATTTGTATGCCGTACTACCAGCCATGTACATCGATGAAGCTATTATCTCCTCTCCGTGGTTGAGTGGCGTACCGTGGTCGTCGGGCGGTAGCGCGGCGGCATCTGATCGTTTTCCCCACATTCCTCTAAGGTTCGTCCAGCCCGGCTCCCGCTTCCAGTAATATGCTCCTGTTGGTTCACACCACAATAATGACTGGTCGACACTCTATTATATCATCTCATATTCGATCCCAAAACATTTCGCCACAGTTCGAGAAATCTGTTCTTGTTGATATTGAATTCGGTATGCTTGTCGTGTCGTGTCAGGTGTTTGAAGTTTCTGTCTTTGAAGTTGAAGTTGTATTGTTGGTGTAATGTCTTCATTTAATTAAAGTAATGACACAATGTTGTAGATCTGTGAGCTTAATTTATTTGTTAGACAGATATAAAACACGTGAGAGCAAATAACGCTCAAGTATAGCAAAATCTTTGAAGAGGCAATTGTAGTTGTTCACTTTAATTGCTCGTGTACGAGAGTCCTTATTCGAGGCGACTCGAGCACCAAATATAACGATGCCTTGTTTCTTGTATCGCGTGTATTTCGAACGTAACAAGCTTTTCATTTATCATTTTGGTGCAAATTTAACGCGTTAAACTGCAGCTAAACGATGGAAGCAGCCGTCGTCATATTGACTCTGGTATTCAATTTAAATACGGCCGGAGAATTATTATCTAATTCGCAAAGTGATTCCGGAGGCGGAAAATTTGTCGCGAGACGTTCGTTGCTGTGTTTGTGGAAAAAACATTTTACTTATTTATCGTGTACTTTTCGAAAGTTTTATTTTGATACAACGTACTTCGGTCGGGCACTCGTAACAAAAATTAATTGAAGTAGTCTTAATATTATATATAGTGGTTTTGCTCATATTCAACTGATTTTTTTTTCGTTAATATCTTATATTAAATTATTGTATCTCTTGTATATAAATATCTCGTAAAATAACGTCATCAGGATTCTTGTCGTTGTTGACTTTTTAGTTTCTATGGAAATAATGAGATGTTAATATATCATGAAACAGTACATGTTATTGGTTCTCACTTCTTTATTATAATAAATGTACTGTTTCGTGATATATTAATATTTGGAATTGAAACAGGAAATAACCCCGTATTTTAGGAATAAAGGGGAACACATGTTTAGATATTGAGTTCATAGAAAATGGACAACAGGAAAATTGATAGTATCATTCAGGCTGGTTCCTTTTATACTAAAGAAATAAATATAAGGACCTTAATATTTTCCATTTGAGAATATCCGATTTCTAAGATGCAAAGGGTCGTGACAGACTTTATCGGATGGAGCCTATGACAGATTGATGTGCCAATTAAAGCCACAGGGGTGGATGCCATCATGATGTTACAACCTATTTCTGGTTTTCTGGTTAACTTCTTATAGTTCAGACACAATTATTTAAATATAAATGTGTCAGAACTATAAGAAGTAAACTATAAATAACGAGCATTTTAAATAAAATATCCAAAAATATTTAGCATATTTTAACAATTTGGTATTTTTAATCATGTTTATATTAAAAAAAAATCACACACACATAAAGAGAAACTATAAAAATCATTTATTTATTAATGCATATATTGAAATTGATTATCATCTATGAATCTATAATAATATAGCATATTAGCTAAGTCCTACATAATATAGTTTTGTGGTGGTATTGTTTAGGTTACGCGAATGTCCGACCGATCGCCTCCAAAATAAGCTGTTTTTGGTAAATCGAACTTATTACTCTTAGCATTCATCTATCTAATCAATATTGGATCTACTGAAGATTTATCTTCTAAACGAATTTCCTTTTGTATATGAACATATTTCCTGGTATTGTGTGTAGGATTTTGTAAATTATAGACATTAGTAATTTGAAATGTACAGGAAGAATTAGTTCGTTTTATCGTTTTCTCTTAATTTTGTAAGTTATCATATTGGAGCGTATCATACGCACGTAGAGAAGCTCTGCAACTTAAATTCTGTCCTCTTGTCTCCGTCGGATAACGTCGTTACATTGCAATAAATGACAATTAACACTGTTTGCGTTCTTGTAGCCATAACGCTAATTTTCTTTATTATGAAATATGAACGAACCAGAGGCAATTAAAGGCGCCGACTTCGAAGACGAAAATAACTAAATTGGTAAATCAAGGGCGAGCAACGAATTTAAATCAATCAAACAAAATGTGAATTGTATCAATTAGGGGTTGAAGGGAGGGCGGGTAACCCTCTAAAGGAAACAATAATAAAGCTGGACAATTTATTATTAAACTTTTATGGAAGGACCATAGATTTATTGTTACCCGATTGGATTTTTTATACTCTGTAGGTTTCTAATTGTTGTTCGATATGAAACTTTATGGGACTCAACGTAATCTCGATGCGTTTAGAGTAAAAATTGATTTTCAAGATATATTATATGCTACTATTGTACTGTTATATATGTATAATAATATATGTATGTGGTGGTGATGTGTTATCAGATAAATAAGAAACTGCTATTGTATTAGAAGTGCCACTCACTACCACAGTCTACAAACAATAGATAGCTCACTCCACATTATTATTAGTATATATTTTAAGTTAAATCCAATTGAAATGTATAGTATAATTAATTCAAAATGACATATAATAATAGGTCATTCTTATTAAGTCAAACAATTTATTTTAACCATCGGTTATTGATTAACAATCTTTGTTGTTTGTAATGAATATAATAAAATTTCAAATGAAATAAACGATGCGGTGCTTCTTTCCAGTGATTATTATATACATATTATTTTAATTGTAATTTATTGTTTATGATTATTATTCGAAAGACAATAGTTAATTATTAATATTAAAACTATGATTATTTTGTTTCACATCTACTAAATAAGGAGCTATCAATAAAGAGAAAAATATAACATTAATTATATTTGGAATAAAATGAATTCAAAGAGTGAATGAGAAAATTTTGCATAGTTGTTGTGTGGTGTGAGCATACTATTTTATAGGTTATGCTACTGCTACTGAAGTGTAAGGTACGAGTAAGGATTCGTGCGAGAAATGCACTAAACAGTCACGTATGTAGTGTAATTCAAGGTATAGATGGAGTGTTCCAACTGTTATGTGTTTACGCTGTGGTCTGAGGTTAATTCATCTGTGTCGAGCATCATTATAAGAATTATAATGTCTTGATATTCGTTGTTGTTTAATTTAGTTGACCATTTAAATCTGTAATTTACGTAATGTTATCTGTTAACATTAAACTAAATTTTATACGTATTTCAATTTCTATAGCATGTGATATTTCTTTGGTTTAAAGATCTAAGTAATCTCTGTTATAGATATAATAAAAAAAATCATTTGTAGGACATAAGTACTGCCATCTTACAGTTTATTATCATCAAAAACGAAAGTGGTAGTTTCAGTTTATACATTGACATAAAAGTATAATGTGCAGTCCGTCAACAGAAGTATCTGACGGTACAATATCGGTTTTTTAATATCAGTCGTTTTCGGAAATATTAACTAACATTCGGGAGTAGTATAGGTATCTTTATATTTGAGTTTATATCTATATTCATTCATATAACTTGTAGTATGTACGTATATCTTATACCCGATGTCACTGTTTAATATTTGATCGTTCAACAGACTGGCAATATTTACTTTAACGTCAAGTTGTACAATAGTCAAGTTGTAAAGTGGTGATGTTTTGTTCTCATTGTGTATGATGTAGGTGTTAGGTCGATACTGGACTAAAAGTCACTTCGATGCATTTTCTCCAAAGACGATAGAAGGGGAAGAAGTAATAAAATGTGTGAGTGGAAAATGTTTGGTTACCATTGTTGTTGTGTGGCTTGGTGGGCCGCTTGCCCCACGCCCCGTGCAGGGCGGACCAGGCTTTTTTCTCTGGTTGTTCCAACACCGTCCTTTCGGCTTCTTCTATCTGCAGGCAACATTCTCATATTAAAATTTCATATAATGATTTATCTCATATTAGTATGGGGCCAGTTTTTCCTTTATTATGATATGTATTATGCTTTACTGATGATGATAAAAATATCGTCTAACATTTTTCTTTTCTCGGTGTGTCTCACATAAGAAAAGGCTTCTTTAGATAATCTAATTGATGTATTTCAAAGACATTTCTAGATAAGCTCTCGGCTTGTGAAGCTTTTCGTTTCAACTAAAACCTAACATCTCAAGAATTCGAAGCTCGAACAGAGCTCTAAGTTCAATACAAATTCTATGTGTATACGTCATTATGAATAATATCCTATTTACCTGTTGTGCAGGTACTAATTGTTCGATAACATTTTCCAAGTCCTCGTAATCAATCTCAGGTCCTGATCTCTTTCCCCAAGATCCGTGAAAGTTTGCCCATTTTTCCTGATAAAGAAATAGCAACAAATATTCCCTTCAATAACAACCAAAAATGTACTAATAGAATAAATTAAAAAGTAGTCGGCGGCATACATTGACGATTTATACTTACAGGTGCTCTTTTGCCCCATGCCGAGCTCATGTCTTGCCAGCCTCGCTTGCCCCAAGCTGAGCTCATGTCTTGCCAGCCCCGTTTACCCCAGGCAGAGCTCATATCTTGCCAGCCGCGCTTGCCCCATGCTGAGTTCAAGTCTTGCCAACCACGCTTGCCCCATGGGGATTGATACATGTCATTCCATGCGCGTTTGCCCCACGCTGAGTTAAGATCTTGCCACCCTCTTTTGCCCCATGCTGAATTTAGATCTAAATGAGAACGAAAGCAAGAGTTCGATTTTATTATGTAAGTGTCGATAACTGATATATTTTTTCACTGACCTAATAATTACGTAATAGCATAAATATAAAAGTTTATCCATTTATGATAAGACTGAAATTTTCTTAAAATATTTTAAACAATATTGAGTTAAATTGGTACAAAATGACAAAATAAATGAGCTCTGCTTATTATTATGAATCATAAAATTGTTATGTGTTTACCTTGCCACGCTCGCTTGCCCCAAGCAGAGTTGAGGTCTTGCCAGGCGCGCTTGCCCCAGGCGGAGTTGAGATCCTGCCAGGCGCGCTTGCCCCACACCGAGCCCATGTCCTGCCATCCCCTCTTGCCCCAGCCGCCGTGTAAGCTTTGCCATGCTCGTTTTTCTTCTTCTGTTAATTCTATTTCGTTGTCATTCTGTAACAATAAAATGTAGTTGGTTAAGTTCAAAAAGGTCTAATTTTATTCGTAAATTTGGGTGTTATATAACTGAAATGTTTTGTTGACAACCTAATGATTCTACTTAATAAAGGACTCTGCCGTCGAGTTCCACAAGTCTGCTCCATATGTGGAATACTCTACGATGACCACCGACATCAGTCATGAGCCGTAGTCGGCCTACAGAGAGCGAGAGAGATCTAAACGTCTATGTATATTCCCAAGGCCGGAGCCTCGATCGCCAGTACAATGTATTGTAACAATTTGTAGAGCAAAACGCGGTTAGGGAAAATAACATATTTTATAATATCTAAGACGAACTTAGTATGCTACTAATTTCTTGTTGTTCTGGATCAACCGTTGTAGAGTGCAAGTGACAGCAGATTATGTATATATTTCATTTTTAGTAGATTTTACTTGTATTTCAATAAAAATATCTATCTTATATCATGTCTAGATAAGTATTAACATACTTTTACACTAAGTAATATACTTAATGTGATACTGTAACCTGTATCACACTAAGTATATTACAGTACAAGTACACAAGATTTCAATATGATGTTATTTTAAGTTGGTGTTGTCAAGAGTGACATTATTTCGCCACTGATATAATCACTGGGATTTGTTTAGCAAATTCCAAACGAAAATATCTTTACTTTTCTTTATTCTTAGATTGGTTAGAAATGAAAGCTCTCAAAAAGTATTTTTCATGATAGTCCTGTTTTTATGTAATCCAATTATTATACCCGCTCATTGTGGCACCACATCTTTATCGGTTGCGAAGTTAAAAGGCGGTTTATAATAAGTTTCGTTGAGTTTTAAAAGTTACTCGCCGTTGAATGTTGCGCGCCGCCCGTACTGTGACCACTCATTGTTAGAAAATAAAACCCAGCGAGTGAGCTGTTTGAAACGCAATACAATGGACGTGATCCCGCAACGTTTTCTTTTTAATACTTATTTCAAAACTTATATTAACTTGTCTCGAGTTCAAGAGAAATCGAAAATTATTTAGTAAAACTGTGTTATATGAGTACGGCTCAGTCTAAGAGGAAACTACACTCATTATCCACACGCTTTCTACTTGCCAGAAAATTCAAAAATCTACTAACGCGCAAACGTGTGACCGTATCGTAAGTCCCTTGCGACATATTTCATTTGATTTCTGATAAAAAGTCACATAGATCGGATTGTTTGAAAGTGCTTTTTAGCCTCTATACAAACCGAGTCAAACACTCTATCCACATGTTTGAATTTGTGATGTCTCATTGAGATTTGACAAGCTTGCGGACGAGGCAATACACGCGCACTAAATAACACATATTCGCGTGAGCAACTAGAATAATGTAATTAGAAAAAGATCTCATCACCATCTCGGAGATTCCAGGTTCGATTACAACTATTGTAAGGCGATGTAAAAAAAAAACACTACGATATTGTCAGATTTAAATTCAACTCGGGTAGATTAAAATAGCTTTGTTTTTGTGTATATGATTACACTTCACAATGAAATATATAGTAACTCATTTTTGGTAACTTTACAGGGTAGCGCGAAGAATTACAAAATAATAAATTGTATACAAAATAAAATTTTACATTTTGTATTTTATTTGCGAAAGTAAATAATTAAAAACATAAAATGTTATCGTTCCTCCAAGCTCTCCTCAAATAAATGTTTTTCCAGACAGTTGATGATTAATTAAGTTTAGTGGGTGTCGGACATATAAACTGCACTAAAGTGTACATCAGTGCACTAACGTAAAGCAGCGGGCATATGATGAGCCATGCAGCAGTAATAGCTATACAGTTAAGAGTGCGCAAACAAGAAATAGTGAACACTGACAGATGTAACGCGTATTGTGCGTTAACCGTAAAAAAATATTACGAGTACATTTTTTTTTAAATTATACTCAAAAATTGAACAAGTTGTAATAAAGTTAACTTTCAACTGTTTATTGTAATTTTTTATTTTAAATTATTAAATTATGAAACTAGAGTATTGTATATTTGATCTCGATTTCCATTTCAGACCCGCACCACGTCTTTCATTATCATTATTATATAAAAAAAATATAATTTAATTTGAAGAATTTAATCCTATCGATATAATTTAAGAAAACCAAACTTTGGTCTAATTAATTATGCACTTACATATGATGTAGCACAGTTAATTTAGGCTTGATTCATTTTTTACAATCAGTTCGAACTTGGTGATTTCGATTTAGGCACCCTCTTAAGAATAGTTGATGGGACCAGCTTAATTAACTTCGAAATTAGTTGGTGTAAGTGATTTAACGTTTTCTATCAGCCGAGTCGATAATTACTTCGAGATAATTTGTTTATTGTCAAACATTTGTTTTTCACTATTAAGTGAAACCTGAAATTGGTTAATTTCTAGTTGCAGCTTCTGCAGGTTTAATATACTTATATTTCTAATTATTTAGATACAACACTGGCATGTAAATTTTGATCAATGTTCTCGGTTAGACAAACTAAAAGTATTGTACTAGTAACCCAGCTTTTGGTTGTGGCTTCGTCTGCGTAGAAATATAATTCTTATTAGACAAGCTTTTCTAATTTTAAATAGAAAAGTACCATGGTATTTATACTTTTCCATTCATAATTACATTCTTTAGGTGGTTGGTCTAGCGCGTTGGTGATAGACCACACGAACGCCTTCACTATTGAAACTCCATTCAAAATGTATTTATACCAATTAGCACTGTGAATGTGAAATTCCTCAAATATAGGTAGTATTTTTTTTTGTTTTACCTAAAAATAATATTACTTCCAAATAATGAGCAAACAAGAGGCGTCCTTGTCACGGAAGCAATATCGAGTCAAAATATTTGCGACGTCGGACACAAAGTCTAAGATAATATTGCGAGGCAGGGACGCACTTAGCTCTACATAAAATTGGAAAGTTATCGAGGTGTACTGAGCTCGGTGGCTGTTCATATTGCAATGAAGATTTGAAAATCCGACATTCTATTATCTTGTATTATTATCAACGTTTGATTGACCGACCCACTGCTGAATTATACATTATCTCATTTTGTTTTACGTTTAGTTAAAATCCGCCGTCCGTCCGCGCGTCATGTCACATAATGAAAATAAGATTTTACCGATCAACTGAGAATTATTTTATTATTTTTCTTTGTTTTTAAGTGTAGTAAGAAACTATTATAACTTCGATATAAATGTATTGTTAAATATCAGAAAAAATATAAAGTCTCCTGACATTTAAGAATAAAGATTTGATTGGTTGTTTGCGTAGAATAGGTACCATAACTACTGGACCAATTTTAAAAATTCTTTACCCAAGGGAAAATACGAGTATATTATATGCGGACGACATAAGCTAGGGCGAAGACGCAGAAATCAGCAATTTATATAATACTTTAAAAATTTCACTAGATTAACATTTCTAAGTAGTATTTAAAGTTACTTATTAGTTAAAGTACTTTAAAAAAGGTGGACCGGATACCTCGTGCCCAAAGTATTCTTCAAACTTTACAAATGTTTGTCAACAAAGTTTTTCAAAAGCCGCTGTAGCGGCGGCTTTGCCGAAAATGTTTCGTTTGCGGCGTTCGTCGCGTCATGTTTTCGAACTGGACTTTACCTCGTTACCGAAATATAATACTGCCACTAAGTAATGCATACCAAAACGTTACAGTACAAGTACACCTATAGTTATACAATGATCGAATAAACAAGCCGTGATGCTTACAGATGCGCATGTAGACCCATTTTGTTTGTTTCGCTTGACATATACATAGGAGTTTATGTAATGAAACGTAATATCTTTTACTCATTCTTTGCTGTTACAAGCACTCGTGAGCAAACTATGTCAGTGGTTAGCAAATCCACAGTAGGAAGGACAGAATTAATTATAAAGTGTTTGTTCACATAATCTGAGTAAGGTAGGCGCGTACCTGGGCGGGGGCGGGGGCGAGGTCCCCGGCAGCGGCCGCTAATGTCGTCAGCGCCGACAACCAAAGCGCCGCCACGCAGCAACGCATCTGAAACAAACATACACACAGTTATAATAATTATTGATTAAAAAGATGGAATTCGACGACGATTGTAGTTGAAGAACGTCGAATGGACTAGAAACTGTTCCAAGTACAGGAAAAATGTTATCAGTGCACAGTTTTATTGATAATGGTTTGTTATCGTTTACTATAATATAATTTTATTTAATTACAATATTAGGTTATTATCTTCATATTAGGATATATTTACGCAGGTAATAGTTTTAGGAATTTTATATTTAAAAATATAATTTAATAATATAAATTTAATTAACATTGCCATGTTTTTTCAATAGCAATTAACAAACTGCAAGTTGATATCGACAATAGTCAGTGATCAACCTCCGGGTAGGGTAGGTATATCATAAGAGACAACAATTATATTTCTTCTATTTTGTCTTTGATGTTCGTAGGTTAAAATAAAGAGAGTAATGAAGATGAGGATTTAATTTACGGTAACAGACAGAATATTAGCGACTAGAGATTTGTATGACGGACGCACATGAAGAATAAGTCTCGTACTAATCTATACTAATATTATAAAGAGGAAAGATTTGATTGTTTGTGTGTTTGTTTGTTTGCAGCGAATATAGTATCGAATATGCAAGAACCTAGTCTAATAGATATGGATAATAATGAGAAATTTATAAAATCACTGATCTACTAAGAAGATTAAACAATAAACTGCATGAAAAACAGTTCTTAATGGAAAAGAAATAGCTTTTCAGTACATAACAGTGCGAATGGTGTTGGTTCCGATCGAGCGCGCGGCAACTGGTTATGGATCGAATAAAAGAGTTTCACTTTGGCTGAAACGATTCAATCCCTTTATCTAAACACCTTTGCTTATAAATTTTATAGATATTTAAAAAATACACATCGTAGTTTCAAATTGTAAAGTTCCATTTTACTAATGAAACATACACTATGTGAAATGTAAAGAAAACTTACAATTTATTATTTTCCAATTTATTTAAAACTTATATATTGGAACTTTTGAATGAATCATTCTATCAACGCGTATATCATCAAATCCATAGACCGACGGACTCTCTAATCAAAAAATATAATAAACAGTACATCTGTTATGAACCCATAATAACGTCATCAAAATACGCATATAAATAAACAATACAATGAATGCATTTCCATAACAGATCAGTAGTTTGTCACTATTACTAAATGAATCGATGAAATCTAATGAAGGCATAACACCGTTGATCTTGTTCGTGAGGGTTCTTATATCGAGTTATACTTGTTAATAAACTTAAAGCATCGCTAATTAGTGGTTGAGTTGACAACTAAAACAGACGGTTAGTTACAGACGGCTATACACTTAACGCTTTGTGGTGAAACCAGACGATGCGATAAGGCACGCTATAACAGTTCAATATTTACAATGTTCGGTGATTAGAGATGCTTTAAAAATATGTAGATAGGTATAAAAAAACGTGAGCGAAAAACTAACGCTCCGTACCCTCAAGATTTATCAAAATGTCTAAGTCAAGATGATTCAAGTCATAAAAAAAATTGTTTATTAAAAAATTAAACAATTTATTTAGTATGTAATATTCGTGAAAAACAGACGATTTAAGTGTTAGTTATAAATAAACTGCTACCTTATAAAAATACTTTCAGAATATATCCGAAAATTTAAACGTTTTACTTTGTAATCCCCAGAATATCGTTGGTGGCAATGTTAAGCTTACCCCGTAGGCAGTATCCGTTTCAATCATTATTTATTGTATTAACATTTCATGAAAGTCCATTTCGTAAGCAAAGCTGGATTTTAATAGTTCATAACATCAATTATATGTTTGTTTTATAACCGACTAGCTGTCTTCCCGCGATTTCGCACGCGTAATATAAAGCCAATGTCATCCACGTATGGTGTAACTTCCCGCAGGTGACGGTCCAGAAGTTTCAGAGCCTATTAGATGTAAACAAATAGTCGAATCTTTCCCCTTTATGATATTAATTTAAATATTGAACTTGAATAAAATTATTTTGCTATATATAGTTCAACTCGCCCTTCTCTAGATACGATATTACTCGTACATAAGATATATTGAAATGTTTCACTTACAACAAGTAACCCAAGGATATGCCTCTCCAACAAGTTAATAATGAAATCTCAATAATGACAGTCAACAAACTTGAAGGTTGCCATTCATTCGACCCACAGGGAGGGGTATCTGTTAAGGAACAATTTACTGGAATTCACACGGGAAACGGAACATTCCATGAGGCACAAAATCCCGACTGCCGAATGTCCAATGATAGAGGGCATGGTTACCATGGTGACCATGGCCAATTATCACCGTATTCCCACAATAATTATCATAGTTGACGTAAATTGAATCCAATGTCTCAGTAGTTAAAATTAGTCATGTATATTATATTTTTATTAATTTTACATTCACAATGCCATACTGAAAATTATTCTTAATACAAAATGCCAGGGACCTAGTGGATTTTTTAAGCATTTTGTAATAAGAATAATTTTTAGTCTTGAATGTTTCAGTTTTTTTATTAGTCTTAATTAAAGATCAGGATAAATCTACTTTATGAAGTACACTATCGAACAATTTTATGAACTTGTTTACTACTTGCAATAAAGTTATATTACGAGTAAAATAAATATTATTTAATATATAGTTTGAAAGAAAGGGATCAATTATTTAGCAAAATCTTTGTCAAAGTCATATCGGATTTAATTTGTATTAATTTTATATTATTTGACCTCTTCAGTGGTCACGTGTGAGTCGGACCCGCCCTTAAAGTGTGGAACATGTTTTATTTTCCGTAGTATTTACGACTCAATTACATTTGCTGTTGTTTTTGAAAAAACTGCCGACTTAAATCTCCTCAAAAACAATATTCGTTAAAAGCGTTACAAGTTGAAATCAAGACGATTTTTTGTTTTTAAATTTCTAACCAAGTTTTGTTTGTATACAAAATACCTATTTAAGAACTGTGAAATTTTTTAAAAATACTAATTCAATTTAGGACCATTGGGCTTTCACTGATAAATCTTTATTGTATCATATTATATGCAAGCCGTAACTAGCGATACATAATAATAATAATAATGTATTTTATTCAATAATTGTTACATTAGATTGTTTTGAGACCACATATAATTAATGGAACACATTAACTAATTTGACTATGCATTTGATAGTTTATTTAATAAAGCAATAAAGCATGTGTAATCTAGATTGCTCAAATATATAATAAATTCTGCAGTATAAAATGGAAACGAAAGAAAAACGTACAAAACGATGGTCTGCCACCTCGAGTAAGTCTAAGCGTCGACTAAGTTAATGCTATAATGCACTGCTGCTTCTGCAGATAGTCTACTTTATTCTGTCCATTTTCTTTTAGTATGGATATTGTGGGTACATTAAATAGCACAGTTGAATTAACTGTTCATTATTATATTATTGTACTCGTACATAATGATATAATTTATTCATGAATAATGACGCAGCTTGTTAATTGAATAACGACAAAATTGTAATTTGAATATTCTCTAGCGTTTTACTTCTCTATGTGAAATAGGTAAAACTGGGAGAAAATAGTAGCCTTGCTGGATTAATGCCGAAACGAGATATACTACTGTATATTTACCAATTGATGGCGTAGGTCTTCTATTTTTACCATAGTATTAATTTATATTTTTACAAGGGCCTACACTAAAATTCGTTTTTATAATTCCCTCACAGACAGGCTTTAAATACTTGGAATGTGAGCAATGTAGGTATGTGGTTTATATTTATTCATTATTCGTCAGATAATTATATCATCAAACAACTATTGGAGTGTGTTTGATTAAACACTGTTTTGGTGATCAAGAGTTTCTTGAGATTGTATAATTCAAAACTGTGTATTTGGACTTTATGGGACGCAGTAGGACGGGGCGGAATGATATGGGACAGGGTGGGAGGTCAAAGTGACCGCACGGAGATGAAGCGCCGCTGGCGGCGGCGGCCCGTGTGATCGAGTTTAGTCAGTTTATACTCGTATGTTAAAGAACTTGATTCGAGAGTTGTTCCGGACTGCAAAGGCAGTAAGGGTTGTCGCTTTATTCTTCAAATCTATGACAGGGCAGTTGAGTAGTTGAGGTGTACGCGTAACTGACTACTACTAGCGGTGTACCGGTATTCCTTGAGACAACGTATCATTTCACTTAATTTTCATTGAACTGCATCCAACGTTGACTACGTTGGATGCATGGGGGATAGAATAATACATTTTAAATTGCAAACAATTTCTCATTTTCAGAGTTTAAAAAATAAAGCTTGTCTTTTCGGAGGTGTCGATGTCAAACAATTTGATGATTACTTTTAACACTGATCTTCTGAACTTTCAACTTTCGAAAATTAACGAAAATAAATTTTCATACTTATAGGCATTTTATGACAGACACAAAAGAATTGTCTATAATATAAGAGTAAAATAACCAGATAAATATGTAACTTCCTTTTTTTTGTTAAAATTTAAAGCGCAAGTTTAATAATAATAATAATTTAATTAATATTTTTAATAATGGGCCGGGCCTGTGGTCTAATATCGTCTATTTTCTTTAATAACGTCAAAATTTGACATCATAATAAAATATATTTGAGATTTTCAACATAACACTCATTAATATATAACAACATAGTTTACCATAGTTTTTTTTTTATAAATTACACCTCAGTTCACCCCATAAATCACAGACCTGTAATATATTTATGTTGCATGAACAAGCTCTGGTCACCAACTTGTATAGTGTAACAAACTGCAACTCTATCGGCCCTGTACTTACAGACAAAACGAGCTGTGACAGATGGACGTACAGATAATCGAGTTGTAGTTGGCAGAGGAGCTTGTGGACAGTAGTTTTAAATTACACAGATAAATTAGCAAGAAAAATGTATGTTAAAAAAAGTACAAACAAGACAGACAGCAACAGCAATTATAAGGAAAAGTGACGAAAGAGA